TATTGACGTGGTCAATATCTGTACACATACCTCATTACCAATAGAAGGTGTGTAACTGGGTATTGACGTGGTCAATGTCTGGATAAACAACTCGTTACAAATAGAAGTTGCGTAACTGGGTATTGACGTGGTCAATATCTGGACACATACCTCATTACAAACAGAAGATGCGTAACTGGATGTTGACGTGGTCAATATCTGTACACATACCTCATTACCAATAGAAGGTGCGTAACTGGATATTGACGGGTTTAATGTCTGGACACATACCTCATTACAAATAGAAGATGCGTAACTGGATATTGACGTGGTCAATATCTGTACACATACCTCATTACAAATAGAAGGTGTGTAACTTGATGTTGACGTGTTCAATATCTGTACACATACCTTATAACAAATAGAAGGTGTGTAACTGGGTATTGACGTGGTCAATGTCTGGATAAACAACTCCTTACAAATTGAAGGTACGTAGATCAATCTTAAAGTGTTCACTATATTATGCTGAAACCTGCTGGACACTGAAGTTGCTGAGAAAAACATGCAATGTTCCTCAACCTTCCCCTGCGCAATTGTGTTGCGCGACAAAACAAAAGGTTTGTTACAGTTGCAGGATAGAAGAGATGTTACAAACGACAATGTGTCATACGTTGAGAAAGGCTTCGGCAGCCCTAGTTCACCGCATATATGAGTGTAGAGAAGCATGAATTCCTCAAAATTCAAGGTAAGTAGCTATCAACCATCAAAAGAATATTCAATTAACTGAATGAATCTCATTCCCAGCCGTCTACAATTACGGGCAAACAATGCCCGTCATGTGCTCTCAACTAAATAATTTTCTTTGCTAGCTTGGTATGGTATCAATCAGCTGAATTAATCTCGTCACCAGCCTACAATGACAGGCAAATACTGCCCGTCATGTGCTATCAACCAATTTTATTGTGCTGCGCGATAGAAAAAGTTTTGTCCTTGCTCGCTTTCTTAAATGAGTTACAAGTGTTGCAAATGTTATCCGAGTTTGATAATATCACATATATTCTCCGCAGTTCAAGTGTTGTGGAGCATCAGGACCAGGGAACTGGTTGACCATTGCAGGAACTCATTCCACCAAGTTCCTGCAAATGCGAGGGCGTTAGCAACGACAAGTTCAGCATTTATACTCTAAACCTCTACAACAATCCTTTTCTGATTGGTCTCCAGTAACATCGGGTGTCCCGCAAGGTTCAATTCTGGGGCCGATCTTGTTTCTGTTATATGTAAATGACATTCCAAATGTAGCCACATCAAGCATCAAATTGTTTGCTGATGATACTAAGATCTATAGACGACTAACCGACGTTGGGGATGTAACAGCTCTACAGTCGGACCTTGCTTCTTTAGAAGACTGGGCGGCGGATTGGCAAGTCAAGTTTAACCCTAAAAAGTGTGAAGCCATGAGGATAACTCATAAGGGTGATAAGAATAAAACACAATATCACATATCCGACACAGCATTAAAGAACGTACATGACTACAAAGACCTTGGAGTTACAATGTCGAGCGATCTAAGTTGGTCCAAACATGTAGAAGCAATTGTACATAAAGCAAATAAAGTCCTTGGTTTAGTTAA